GAGACACACATTTATTTAAGATGGCTGACATCCTAAAACCTGAGAGTTGGAAAGCTTTTCAATTTTCCGTTTTTCTTTATACACATGACTGGTGCTGCAGAGAAAAAAAGATTCTAACTGGAACGAGTCAATGGTAAAGGTCGGACATGTGCCGTTGCAGCCAATCCCATATTTGGCGGCTGAAAACCGAGCGTTAACGGTTATGGGTGGATTTCAGCTAATGGGAGAAAATAGTTCTGAAAAAAAGTTGAAAAGTGATTTGGCCGTATCAAGCTATAGACTACTTTTCTGTTATCGAAGAGCTCCATATTATAGAATTTAATTACGTGCATCGCAATATCTTTATGATTATTTTTCTTTACCAAGCTTGGCATGTTAGTTTGGACATGTCAGGTTTGGTGACGTCACCAAATTGACATTTTGCTGTTATTAATTTTTCCTGCAAATTTACAGTAACAAAATCAAACGAATATTTGAGTTAAGGTCGAGAGGCTACCTGTAGATGTAAGAAAAAAATATTTGCTCACATATTCCTTGCATATTCCACCAAAATTTTTGATGGAAAACAGCGTCACCAAACTGACATTGAATAAGTGAGACACTCCAAAAATCATGGGAAAAACTGAAATTATGCTGAAATTGGAAGAAATATGTGGACTTATCAAGTTCACGCCTGTTCGTTCTACTTTTCCGCACTCAGTCGTGCCTTAATCCGCACGCAAGCGCTATCTCTTGAGTGGCCACAAATTAAAACGCATAGCGTCACCAAACTGACATATTATTGAGTTACGCGCTTCAAGTCTCAAATTAAATTGAATAATATAGTTTTCTGGTGTTTCAATACATATTATATCAAACAATATACATTCAAGACTTAAAAAAAAATTAGACAAAGCTCGCAAAAGGTCCTGATTTATTTATATAACGATTTGATACATTGATAACCCCCGAGTTACACGTCACAAAACTGACATTTTCACTGTTTAGCACGTTGAAAAAAAGGTTTAGAGCTATTCAAATCGCCTGAGGAATTTTTTCGTGGTTGGTGTGACCTGGTTCTACGCAAAAAACCAAACATTGAGAGAAAATATTATAATTGAAAGTTTTGAGTAACCAGTTACACGTGTTTCCCATATTTTCTCCCATTAGCTGAAATCCACCCTTATATGTAAAGGATATGATACCAGTTCGGGCCAAATCATTTCCATTTACCCGTCACATCCTCCCAAACATGGGTATTACGCGAATTCCAAATTTCAATTAAGTTACATATAATTATTTCTACCTCATCTAGTCTATCACAACTTTCACGAATGTAAAAATCAAAGATTGATTTTTAATCTGCAGAGTTTGAAGAAACTTCTCCTCTATTATAAGTTTTTTAATATTATTTTTCACGGTCGTAATGCCGGTTCAAAGGCACCTATCTCTAATAGAAAAAAAAAAAGAAAATTAAGTAAAACTTTAAAAAAATGTGAAACCGGAGTCAAACTTTCTTTTGTATGGGGACATTCGTAGGACCCTTGGGAATGATGATCCGGAAAAATCAGCTGCCGAAAAATGCGAAAAATTTACCTGTGACGACACTTCTTCTCTTCAATTTCGTAGTTGCTCGCTACCCTATCCTTACGAATACGTCGTCGCCGCTTACGGTCAGGCGGCCATTTCTGCAATTTCAACGGTTGATTGTTGTTTCATGGAGCTTGGAGAATATTTTCCACGTTTGCGAGACCCCCCCCCCTCCCCTTTAGAATGCGCTTTAGTGGCATTCATCTCAGAAGTATTAGCAATAGCTTTCAAGGTATCTTTTGCTCAGGAAAATTTGCAGGACTCCTGAGAATAATCATGCACCACGTTCAGTGTTGCAACCAGCTGCTGTTTTGCCCGTGACGTCACTATCGTTAAATACCGCAGTTGTGCGCTACCCTTATTTCTCGAATCCGTCGCGACGCCGTCCTTTTTGCTAGCCGTTATGATCAGATGGCCTAGTATGCACAAATAGCGATTCTAACATTTGATTGCTATTTTACAGAGCCTGGAGAAAAAAATTCTTTTTTTATCTTTTTCTTTTTTTTAGCTCATAATGTCCGTTTAGAGGCAACCATCACAAAAATGTTATAAAGAGTTTAAGGCGAACTTGCATTAAAAACATCAACCATTTCACCATTTGCGGACATTTGCAGGACCCTTTAGAATGACATTATACTAAACTTAGCTGCCTTCATCTGCTACTATGGCTGTGACGTCACCTCTTCGGTTACATACTGCAGCCGTGCGTGACTCATCCGCGACTTAAGGACGTACGCGGGCGGGATTCATATGAATCCGGTATCTCTAATTACGATCGGGGATCGGGCAGCCTGTTAACACTGTTTGACTTTAAAAATGACGAACAATTTGAGCGAAGAAGTGATGAAAAATCAACATAAGTAATGTTAACAGATCGATGTAGGTAAGTAACTTATTTTTATCCAAACATTCCCGACGAATCCTTCAGTCCCCCACCCCCTTCCCCCATTCCCTTATGTTTTCAAATTCTAGTAGTAAAAATAATTAAAACTTCACAAATTGCCGCTTTCCACTGATAACAGAGCCGTATATTATCTTAATCACCGAAAATGATGAGAAACATTTGTTGATGAAGTTGAACAGTTAGCTAATATTTTAACAGTAGTAGTTCTGATAAAATATGTATAAATATAGTTTTTAGTTGGTCATAATGTAAAAGTACTATCAAAAATGAAATCTACGATGAAAATCACATAAGATTCGTGAATTCGGCGAACATTTAGTAGAGAAAATCCTGATAATTATGGAACGTCTGATGCGCACTGCGCAGCGTGCTATGTCCGACCTCTCCCATTGACTCGCTCCATAGTGCATCAGGTCATCCCTCCTTTTTCTTCATTAGAGGTTTTGGATTACGTTCACTTAACTAGGCTGATGATCAAAAAGCTCAAAATTTGAAAACATTTCAATTTTGGGGTTCTTTTAAACATAACCGGTGCACAAGACAATGACACGGTGCAATGAAACATAAATCCGACCGGATGTCAGGTTATTTCTTCTCTTGTAGAGTCATGGAATTACAAATGACAGTTGGTTGGGAAATGAAACGCCAGAAATTCTGGAAAGATATACGCTTTTTTAGGCAAACCAAAAATGTTTAAATGCTGTCAAAGATATGCGGTCCCTTTTCATTGGCCCCAGGTGTAGAAACACCCCCCCCCCCTCCTTTAGGGTGCCTCTGAGTTTTGCGATATTCAAGTTGATCACTCCTTAAAAAGTTTCTGTAAGTCTCTAAAATGATCTCTTATGGGGAACATTTTTTAAAATAATTTAAACTCGTGCCTAAAGCTCAAAGGGCCTAAACCTAAAAATCAAAAATTTTGGCAAGCAACATATCATTTCTGAAGTAAAATGGTCCTCAGAAAAAATCTCGTCCGTTTTGACTATCTTGCGGCGTGAAGTCACAAGCGGGGGAGGGAAGCACGCGAGCACACAGCATCGCACTGCGACTCCATGCAATGGTACGAAGTTAACTGCTGCACAATTGAGGGATTTTTTGTACATCCTTAAACTGGCAAAATAAAAAAATTATTTGTTACATATGTAACAATTGATATGTCCCATGTCATACTCTAGTTATACATACAAAATTTGCAGATTTTTAACAAGGTATCAGTTATTAACTTTTTAGGTATGGATTTTTTCCATTCGACAGAAAAACTCGATTGAGGAGAGTTTGGTGGGAGCAAAAATTAAATGTATAAATATATCCAGCACCATTTCACCACCTTCTTAAATTCAGTTCGGGCCATTTCTCAGTGTTTTTCTCTCGTTTTTGCGCACAGTTTTGGGGGTACGTGTTTTTTCCCCGTTCCGGAGAGGGTGGTTATGTCTAGATGCGTTCGAATCTCCAATCTGCTAATCCAACCTGATAATAATTTTATTCGGGTTTTCCTTGTCCTGTTATGAGAGTTATTCAGCAACGATGGTAGGTGGCACGAGGATCACACTTTAGTGTCATGCCTTAGGTCATATTCATGACAGCGTTTTCATGTTGTCTTGGATTTTGCGGAATGTTAAGTTAGATTCACTGACAATGGGCCTGTTGCAAACTTTTGCTAGAGCAGAATGAAGAGTTGTTTCCTTTAGATAATGCCTCAAAAATCACGATGAGCGCATCGGCAAAGTCTGAAATGCACTCATAAATTCACAATCTGCGTAAGCAATTTGCGTTATTTTGAGCTTCCCACTTCAAAAACGATACTACTGCACAGGTGAACATTTTGTTAGAGGAGTCGCTCCATTGTCAGCAATATTCATCATGGCCGACGCTTGCGCAGTTCCTCGCGTAATTCGAGGAGAGTTCAAGGTCAATTAAGGCGGGCGAGGAAAATATGAACGTAAACACGCCGATTGTTATCTGGTTTAATCCTGTTCAGGTGTTATCTCGTCCCATCACACGTGTTTTGGCGGACTGGCGTCGGCCATGATGAGTATTGCCACCAATGGAACGACTCCTGCAACAAAATGTTCACCTGTACCATAGTATCGTTTTTGAAGCGGGAACTTTAAAAAACCGCAAATTTCTCACGCAGATTGTGAAGTTATGAATGCATTTCAGACTTTGTCGATGCGCTCATCGTGATTTTTGAGGCATTATCTGTAAGAAACAACTCTTAGTTTTGCTCTAGCAAAAGTTTGCAACAGGCCCATTGTGATTTATTTTTGAGGTCTAACAAGACCCAAACCAGTAAAGATCTCTCCACCTGACCTCAACATAATATTCCCATGCAAACAGCCTGGGCTGAACACTCTCCCCCCTCAGTTTTGCACTGGTGCCTACTCATTAGAGTTGAACAATTTTTTGACTCCAATTGTAATTTTTGGATTTTCTTGGCTTTGTTTTCCGAGCGAAATGGTTTGGGCCCAGCGCCATTGTTTAAATATATATGAAAATTAAAAGCCGATTGAGATTGTCACATGCAACTCACCTTCCCTGCTTTCAACACTCGATTGACAGCATTGCGAATCAAATCTCCGTAGTACTGTAAATTAATATGACTCAGCATCTTAGCAGAGGCAAGAAGCATAGCAGTTGGGTTGGCTACATTTTTGCCAACAGCTTCAGCATAAGTGTGTCGTGCACCTGGCTCAAAGACAACACACTCGGAACTATAGGATGCACCAGCGACAACACCAGCTCCTCCAACTAGACCAGAGCTCAAATTATCCAGGATATTACCATACAGATTAGGTGTGACCATCACATCAAATTGTTGAGGGTTGGATACTATTTGCATAGTGCAGTTGTCTACGATTATCTGTTCAAATTCAATTTTAGGATACAGCTTGGCAATCTGTAACGATGGAAAGTGAAATTTTTAAAAACCAAACGCTAAATCTGAAGTAAAAGTCAAGAAAAAGCTCGATGCAAAAACGGCTTTTTTCGCCCCCCCCCCTTAGAATTTCTTCGAACTTCCCGTGACCCGATAATGTAAATTTAACTTAATTTTCGGATTTTACGACCCGAATAACCTATGGATAGACACCCCACTCGGCACTTGGATGAGCATTTGTCCCTAATCCCGTTTTTGGCCAAAATTTGGCCACCATCTTGGATTTGGGGCCTCCAAAATGGTCTGAGTGAATTTTGGACAGCAGATTTGAGTTCTACGACCAAAAATACATACGGATTGACACCTCAGTTGGCCAATAGGGTTTTTATTGGAAATATCATCCCCACGGGGGTTATTTTGGCCGTCATCTTGGATAGAGGGTGACTTTGAAAATTGAGAATGCAAACATCAGAATTCTGTTTCTAAACATCAAGACGAAGAGATTAAGACATCTCCCACACTTCTATCACTAATATGCCCAAGTAAAAGTGGAGGTATTTATCATGTTTTTGTGCATCTGAAGACACCGTGCGACAAACAATCAAACATCTATGGATCTTTTGAAATTTGCCCTTCCATACTGGTGGTATGAACTTGCTTTTCACCAATTTTCGAACTTCTAGTGTCATTACAGGGTGTCTAGTAAATTTCGCCATTGAAGAAACGGCCAAAGAATGGTATTTTAGACGTTTTCGAAGTGATTGCGGGCACCGCACAACGAGGAATGTAAGATATAGGAACCATGTAGATTTTTTTATTCCTTACGGAGGGTATAAAACTACTTTGCACAAATTCTCGGACCTCCACTGTCACTACAAGGTGTTCAAAATAATTCTCCAAAAAACGGCCAATTTGAGGTATTTTTGAGGTTTTCGCTGCCATTTCGGGTATCGCAGGACGAAGAATATAGGACTGAGGAAACAAGTAAAACTTTTTATTTCATACAGACGATATGAACTTACTTTCCACAAATATTCGGACCTTCATTGTCATTACAGGGTGTCTAATTTTTCGAACGCGAAAAAACGGTCAAAATTGAGCTATTTTTGACGGGTTTTCCACCATTGTGGGCATAGCTTGGCAGAAAATAAAAGACGTAGGAGTTTTCTGACATTTGACCTTCCATACTGATGGTATGGACTTGCTTTTCACAAATTTTCGGATTTTTACTGCCATTATAGGTTGCTCAATAAGTTCATTATACGTTAAAAAACGGCCAAATTTCGATTTTTAGAGCTGCCGAGCGGAGAGTTTCGGCATTACCAAGCAAAGGGAGAGTGACCTAGAAGAAAAACAAAAATTTTCCCTCAACCTGCAAGGTATGTGCTAGGTTTGTACCAATTTTTGGACATCTAGCCTCAGTACTGTGTTGCTGGCAAAAATATCAAAAATAAACGGCGAGACTGCCAAAAAACCGGAAAAATCTCTATGTTTAGGCTCTGCGCGCCGGGTTAAAATTTTTTTTTCTCAAAATCCTCTTGGCTACCGCGTTTTTTTATCACATGGAACCATTTAAGACCGTGCAACATTTGGTTTTGTTGATTTAAAAAAATAAGTCCCACCCTGGGGGGGGGGGGGGGGGGTGGGTGAAAGTCAAAACCTGTGAACCTCGAAATTTCTCAAAGAGAAAAAGTTATCGAGGTCCAGTTTGGACGAAAAATCGTCCAAAATTGCATACTTAAAGATTTGAAAGGTCAAAATCCCGATATCACATTTTCAAGTCAACATATGTGCTTTCTTCGGTTTTTCAGTCGAGAAAATTTCTTTTTAACAAAAAATTCACAAGGTACTCATTTTTCTTAAATGGACCACAACCAGTTTTTTTTAAATTGTTCGTCTTTTTTCGCATCCAACGAGTGGTCCATAAGCCTGGGGAAATAAACGGTTCCAAAGTTATGAGCGATCAAAGTTTCCGCTCAACGTACGCAGACTGATTTTCGCGCGCCAGAATATGGTTGGGTCATTCCACGTCAACTGTGCCAGGCTCGGAACCCGACCCCCTCCGATTTGGCTGAAAATTGGTATATGGGGTCTTTACATCATTATAAGAAACTAATATGAAGGGTTTTCCCATCCGACGTCCCGTTCGCGAGAGATCGACCCCCAAAGATGGGGTGAATTTTAGCGATATTCAAAAAAGCCCGTTTTAGCGATTCTCATTTTCTCGACTTCCCTCTCTGTATCAATCCATCATACTTTGAAAGAGTGTTTCTAGACCAGTTTTTTATGTAGATTCTAAATATGCCATCGTCCCATCTCAAGCGTTTTGGTGGATTGGCGTCAGCTATTTTGAATATTGCGTAGTATCCTTGTAAGCAGGGGTTGGATGGAATATGACTCCTCTAACGAAACGTTCACCTGTGCCGTGGTATCGTTTTTGAGGCGGGAAGCTAAAAAAAACGCAAATTTCTTACGCAAATTGTGAAGTAAGGAGTACATTTCAGACTTTGCCGACCTGCTCATCGTGATTTTTGAGACATTTCTATAGTACCTGCCAACTCTTATTTTTGATCCAGCAAAATTTTGCAACAGACCGATTTTCTGGAAAAGTCGATTCCGCCCGGAAAAATTGTCATTATCCTGGTCAGTTTTCTGGAAGACTGAGGGGTGGTCGGGAATTATAAACGCAATTTTCAGATTCAGTGGCTCAAAACACACTTGCTGGAACTTTGCTCCGCATTTGACGTTTTAACCATTCAGGAGCCAAAATCGCCGCCATCTTGGATTTTGTGCATTTCACTGGGTCGAGAGGTCCCGATAATAGAGTGTTTCTGAATACTGTAATCAGAATGACTGCCGAGTTCGGTCTTTGCATGGTCCAAATCAGTACCGTTTGGCATGAGATGTTTTTTCTCCTATTTTTTTGGAATCGGTGACCTCGAAAACGGATATCTGGAGTGTTTACTCCTCTCTTTCCTCCTCATTTGACGTTTTAGCCACTAAAGAGTCAAAATCGGCCGCCATCTTGGATTTTGGTCATTTCCGTGGGTCGAGGGGTCTGTATGACAATTTTTTTGGAATCTACGATTCAAAAAACATGAGGATCGACACCTCTCTTGACGTTTTGTGCCGTTTCACCAACATTTCAATTTCAGCCTCCATTTTGGCCGCCATCTTGGTTTTTGGGGCCTTGGCATCAAAATCGGATGGTCCACCAAAGATTTTCTCATTCTAGGGACCAAAATGAAGGAGTAAACTTGCATCACAAACGTGCAAACGGGACGTAATTTTCGAACACATGCTTCCCTGACTATGCAATAAATCGCCTTTTTCCGTCATTTTTGAGCATTTCCGGCCGGTTTTCATCTCCGTTCAGATCCGTGCCCCATCGATGCACGTTAGTAAGTGTTTATTACTCGAAATTATATACCTTAAGGTTGAAATAGAGAGAGAAAATTGGAAATTGCAGTTACAATCTATGGAAAGCATCGGTTACGGTGTGAAAAATCGTCTTTTTGCGTCAATTTCGAGGATTTTCGGTCGGTTTCCGGTTTCCATCAGGCCGTTAATCAATCGGTAAATGTATGGAAAGCGTCGATAGTCTAATTTTATACATCTTAGAGGGTAAACTGGGGGAAAACATCGTTAATTGAAGTGTTCATTATCGCAATATTTGGATTAAAATGTAAAAAATCGTCTTTTTTTACCAATTTTTGACCTTTTTTGGCCTATTTGAATTTTGTTAGGCCCTTAACCGTCCGATAACTGTTGAAAAAAGTATATCAACCAAAAGTATATATCCTAAGCTTGAAGTATAAAAAAAAAATCGAAAATCGAAGTGACTGTTTTTTAGATAATTGAGTTTGAACATTGAATGGCAAAAAAATCGTAAATTTTAAAAAACTCTAAATTACGGCCTTTTAAATAATTTTTAGCTTAATTTCGATGGCATATTTAGAATCTACATAAAAAACTGGTCTAGAAACACTCTTTCAAAGTATGATGGATTGATACAGAGTCTCGCTATGGAGAGTCAAAGAGAGGGAAGTCGAGAAAATGAGAATCGCTAAAACGGGCTTTTTTGAATATCGCTAAAATTCACCCCATCTTTGAGGGTCGATATCTCGCGAACGGGACGTCGGATGGGAAAACCCTTCATATTAGTTTCTTATAGTGATGTAAAGACCCCGCATACCAATTTTCAGCCAAATCGGAGGGGGTCGGGTTCCGAGCCTGGCACAGTTGACGTGGAATGACTCGGTTCCAAAGCCGGATTTGGGTGTTAATAAATCAGATGATAAGTTCAAACCGCGCAAAAGACATTTTTAAGGATTCGTGAGGGTCGCTGAGTTCAAAACTTACGGATACTTCCAAAAATTCACTTTTTTCCCGTTGCGCTACATGGCAGGACCACCGAGTGCCGACCGACTCGGCACCCGCCTTCGCGTTGAATCATTGTTAGTACACCGTTAAAAATGTGCAATGTGATCAAAACTTGTGTAAACGTCATTAGTAGGCCTCTCGAAAAGTATTCTAAAATTTTATCACCGTCCGATCCCGGAACACCCCTGAAAATGCCTAAAATTTAAAATGGCGCCCATAATAAGGCCACCAGAATACCGGTATTTTCACTTGTGCATATCCTGTCATGTGAGGTATCATTTTCCATGCAATGTTGATCTCAGATTTCATAATTGAGGTCAAAAGAACCCCCCGATCAAAATTGGTGCCCCAAATCCAAGATGGCGGCCAAATTTAAAAGGCAAAAGGTGCATTTTTAAACTTTAAAGTGATAGTACGGCAAGTGCTATGTCATTTCCTAAGTAATTTTAGTCGCAGATTTCATTAATGAAGTCAAAAGAGCTCCCCGGTCAAAGTTGGTGCTCCAAGTCTAAGGTAAAGACCAAATTTGAGACGCAGGAGGATGCATTTTTTAGACTTTCACGTGATAAAGCATGTGATATGTCATTTCCCGAGTAATTTTGGTCGTTGATTTCATTGATGAAGTCAAAAAAGCACCC